CGCAACTTCGTGGATTGGTTGAGGTTAGACATTAACACCGCTGGATGCCGGCTCAGTGGTCGAGTAGGTTAAGCGTTCGCGCACTGCTGAGGAGTCCCACAATAGGACGAAACGGCCGTCCAGTGCTTCTAGGTTTTCAATGGTGGTCTAACATCAATCGGTTCATGATCTCAATCAAAATACTTATTATTGGTTAATATCTACGTGACTTTGATGCTCAAATAACTAATATCGACGTCGTTCCATCTTCTACCTTATCAGCCACAGCTTACAAGTGAAAATTATAATATCGTCACATTAGCATTACACATTACTCCACACAATGTGAGATTACTGACATGAATTACTCCAAAAATATCATTGGACTGTTACTTCGCTTCATGCCATAGGCGCCAAACGCATAGGAGAATATTTATTAACTATGTAAACTATATTTGTGGAGGTTACTCAAAAGAGACTTCAAAGTAACATTCCTTACATAGCTGCTGTAATTACATTTTAAGTCAATATACCTAACTTGTTGAGTGTTGCTTTCTACCACCACTGTGGTTACATAATGTCATTTCAATTCGACGTATTAATATTTCATTTTTCTCAAAAATTCTTTCTCTGAATTTTATCATATCTTGATTACGCTCTTAAAGGGTTCAATTAAAGGTTTGGTTTCCGACCCGATCATGATTCTTTAATTTATCTGCTTATACGAGCGCACAAAATAAACACATCCATAGCACATTTCTCACTAGACTCCTTACATCATCGTTGTTGTATTTAATCCCTTACGGTTAAATCGAAGTACACATGCGATGTTATTTAGCATACATATTTCAAGGGGGTAAGATGACTACCATATAAGTGTTGTGCTACATATTGGTGGTCATATAAAGACGCCGCATGCAATCAAGTTTTGATGACACTTTTGTTTCTAAAACCTCTAATAGAGAGGTACCAACCCAGTCATATCAGAAGTCAGGAACCAATGATTACGAATGTATTTTTGGGAGATTGTCTATATGTCAGGAAGCGTTTGATCTAGACTGCCCAGCATTCGCAAAAGACATATAACACAGAGTACTCACTTGTGACTGGGACCAAGCGCTTTCAGCTAACTTGTGTCCAGTAAAACTAATGAAGTCAAAGACTGATTTTGGGGATTTATTTACCGATTCATACTAATGGGTTTATTCATGAGTCAGAGAGGGGCACGAACTTACTACGTATTAGGTTGTAAGTGGGTGAAATAAGACCAAAATATGGTCTGACGACTATTGCAATCCAAATCGTCTAATAAAAGACTGCCTTTTGTCTCATCAACGCGTTGAGTATCTCAAAGATGTGTTAATTTTACTATAGTAAAGCAACGTTATTTATGATCCACAAAATCAAGCATCAATGAAATTACCGCAGCAAAAATATGTAAACTTGAGACAAATAATGTATACTACAGAACCGATTACCAAATGCCCATTAGAACATGTAGTAAATCCCTCCGTGTTGCTCCTATACAGTCCCTGTTCTTTTATAATTTGCCTCGTTTCTCCTGTTGTTGACTACATCTGCACAATTTTAGTTTCTATTTTGGTCTATTTGAAGTTTTTTTAATTGTTTGCATAACTTGTACTGATATCGGATCTTAACCACACGATATTTGAAGTTGAATCTATACTAACTGAGAAGATCTACTCTCAACACGTAACACTTTGAGAAGGTCAAAAAACGGTGAGCATGCGAAGACGGAATCATAATGACATAGCTCGGCAATGTAGACGTAGTAACTTTATGTAACTTCCTTCTTCTCAGTTTACATTCATTATGCCATCCCCAACCCAAACATGTTCCCAGAAACGCCAGACATCACATTGTTGGTTGTCACTATGGGGAGAGTCAGTGTATGGAGTGATGAGACTTCTATATAGGATCTTGTGGGTTGGGTAGTCACATCATGACAAATGTATGATTTTGGGATTCCGTCTATCATTCTAGTAGCAGTGACAAGTGCAATAATATCGAATTAGATCATAATTTGTATTTATTAGGAAAGTTTATTAGTTGAAACACTTCACTGCCCCCTCTGTTTTTACTAAACTGATGGAAACTGATGTTTTTGATCCAAAACTCAATGTCTAGGTTAGCAGAGGCTGGGTTAATTTTTACCAAGTATTTACTCCCTGTACTCAATGATTACTCGAGTGCCGTTTCTAACTGATCTGTTATTATAGAAGACGCTTCTGTAGAATGCAATATTCACGAGAGGTCTGTTTCATTTGTAATTGGATTTTAACATTTGATACCAATTGCACACACTGCAATGCAAATTTTCAGCGTCATTGTGCAGACTTCATCGCCATAGTAATTTCACAGTCCCAGGTCTATTATCTTTCCGAGATTTTGCACACACCGTAATCTCACAATTATCTCACTCCATTTAGATCCCAGTCAAATCTTTTCTGAAAGCCTGAAATAAAATATTTTAAGAGTAACATGTCTTGATTATTCAGTTGTAACTATCAAAGCTACTGTCTTTCAACTCCGTATATGTCTGGCTCCCTGAAACGTTCGGTAAAAAGATAAGGATATCTTTCGCACTAGTACAATTCTCAGCAGTCAATTTACAGTTGACTGATGAAATTCAATTAGTGTCTTTTTCCATTCCTGTTTTCATTGTAGTTTTGGATAATATACGAGGAAAATGACGCCACGCTGCATGCCAGTGTTACTAGTTCTAATGAGCTTGGTCACGAAGAAAAGAAGTGTGCCGTTTAATAATAAATTGTTTCGCTTCCTTATCAATCAATTGTAGATTTAAAGCCTTTCATCTGAGTTAAAGGTTAGAGAGACTTTAGGTTATTTCCACCGAACTCTTCCGTACAAAGATGATCGTCGTCTTTGTACTCATTTCAAGGAACAATGGCTCATTCAGTGAGCGCTGCGGTTCGTTTTTCGTGTGTAAATCTGTTGTCTTTACACAGAAAATGCTGAGTGATCATATAACAATTTGCTATGACTGGCTTATAATAATTGAACAACTGGTTCTACCGACACTTACAACTAGCAGTCTTATACTAGGCCTTCAATTAGCTCTGCAGCATACTCAAAAAATGATTATATCAAGAAACCAGTATATGAAATAAATGTGAGATAACTAACAGCTTCTGTTCTTTTTATGCAATTGCGTTAACTAATAATCACCACTGATGTGTTGATTCAGTTGAGCTGGTACACCGGATATTGATGTATCTTTACTCTGAAAGTTAAGAGCTCACTAATAAATATCACTAAAACTATCGCTGATTTTTACTGTTCTTATGGTTTTGTATGCCATCGTGGAAGAATCTGATGAACTCTCCAAGCACGACAAATACCAGATTGTTCAGGCAGCTGACGTATAATTCTGCCAGTACTCAAGTTCTCTAAGCGATAATACAGCGGTGTGTAAGTCCCCAAAATAAATATCTCTGTAAGTTTTCGACATTGGATGTTAACCACATTAGTTTTATTGAACTCACCTAGCTGAAGGCGCCCGATCATGCTTTCGCATCAGATCACGAGTGGGAACGTCGTGCTAAACAACAATTGCAATCGCTAGCCAGATTAGATCAGTCGATTCTCGATATATTGGTAGCTTACCACATATCTTCAAAACTCCTCGCTACTGCCCTTTGATTTCACTAGGTGAGTACGATTCATATTAGATGTTACTGGTTAAAGTGTTGTCAGACTCCAAATATTTGTGACATGTTCAACATATAAAGTGAGTTCTTCCACGTGAGTTTGAAGACGATAAGACGCTAGTGATATACAACTGTGATTTATATGGATGTTATAGGTACAGCTCGGTCGTACGATTAATCTTTTCACTACTTAACTTATGAATCTAGGAAGACTCTCGCAGGTTTGGGAAAGGTTATGTTGAATGTAAACTTCGTCCACCTAGGTTGGTGTGCAACGACCAATGTTCGAGAATAGAAGACCATCTCCCAAACCTTTATACTAACTGCCAAGACCGAAAGTATATGAAAAGCTGCAGAGGATACAAGTTTATTTGTAGCAGTCTCAAGCGCCAATCGTTTAGATATGACGATAGTTGTGTCAACAGTCCAAAGCCTGAAATCGCCTACAAATTAATCACAGTGATGAGCAGTATTTGTACTTTTATTTATATTCACTACTCTCATCTAAACCACGATATACGTTGATACTAGATACAAGGCTTGGTACTGCCGAAGTAGAAATTCAGAGGGAAGAGTCTTAATATTTATTCATATTTCGAATATCGAATGATGTATATGGTAGTGCTGCATCCACTGATCCTGTGCTATCCTGAAGATTCCTGTACCACAATTTCAGACTTTGAAAAAAAAAGGGTTTCACCATATATAACACTTTGAATATTAATGCTCAATGACACCCTGAAATCAATAGAAATTACTCTCATTGGGTTCCTATCTTCAAAGCTATGTTTCCTTACTCCAGGAGTAATCAAGAGCCTTTCAGTTTTTGACAAGAACTGTGTCTAGAATGAATTGACGCCATCACGAACCTCATTTCAATGAATGCACCAATCCATTAGAACAATTTTAAATCAGAATAACAGAAAGTTTATTTAAATCGAGGAGTAAACTCTGCTAATTTCATTTGGGCGCATTTAACATGCTAGAGGTATAATAAAGGATGTGAAATAATATTAAGAACATGTATACAGAACCATTCTTATTATGGGTTATTTTTACGAATTACAAACATGCAGCACTTAGAGTCGGACTATATGAAGGTAGAATATTGGTTAGTTTTTTATACATTAGAGTTTCAGGTTTCAAGAGGAAGTTATAAATCATCATAACAATGAAATCTCGTTAAAAATTCAGATTTACACTTCAAAATCTAACAGTAGATTGATTTCAGTTACAAAATTTGATTATATGTGTCTTGTTTTAACTTTCTGCGTTTAGGTGAGTGACTGAATCCTCAAACTCAAATATGTTATATGTTTTCGGAGTAAAATGTTGATATTTGTTATTCTTTTCGATTTATACTTTATTGAAACCGTACTCACAACATGTCATCGGTTTTATGCGATAGAAACAGATCTGAGTGAAGTTGAGGTAAATGATTTGGTCGGTGGTTTTGGAGGTACAGTCACTGGAAGTGTAAGTAATTTGATCACAAAATTATTTCTATTTAACGAATGGTAATATCAGATGGATTTAAATATGTTATCAATTTGTGTGCGTTCGTTATCTTCACTCCTTAACCGAAAACAAAGTGTGATCTTTTTTCAACATGTATTGAAAAAATTATATATAATATATAGTACATATACTTTTAGTATATGGAAGAAACGAAGACCAAAGTCTTCAAGTCTGAATCCAATTAAATAAACTCGATGATTAGTTTGTTTGGAACTACTTTTATTTCTATATCGCATCCCGAAGTTGAAAAAGTTTGACTTTTCCTATTTCTGAGTCAACATTTCAAAGGTAGTAACATTCTAGCAAAACAATACGTTATGTGAGCTTCAGCTAAAAAGATCTGTACCTCCACATACTCTGGCTTGTTCAATCCACTTTGCTACACATATCAGCTGTTAACTGGTCGAAGTTTATTATACTTTTAGATAGCTTAAACACGTCCCAGTATATATTTCTTTGTTAATAACACTCTTTCGGACAAGATAGAGTTAAATGACACAAAGGCCTTTAATAGTGAGCATATTTTTCATATTTATTTGTCACTGGATACTTAGAACAAGTAAATATCTTAGTTATTCGATTTTTACGGCTATCAAGACATTTTTAAAAGTGTAGTTTCGTAGACGTTCTTAATGACTGAAGGTCTGTACTTCTGTTTGCAAATGGCTGCCTAGCTAACAACAGTCGACGATGTTTGTATGATATAATTTTAGGGCTAGAAGTATTTTTATCTAGAATTTATCCGATAGATTAATCCAGTCGCGGTCATTATTGTTTATTGATTATTTGAATAGACAAAACGGTCTATTCTTTCCAATTGAATCTAAATTTAGAAAGGTTACATATGCTGACAATAAAATACATAAAATCAGACTATTTCGTTTTATGTGTTTGTTCTTTATGAATTACTAAAGGAAATTGATGGGTCTCTTAATATGTAAAGATTATTCCCATTTATCTGAATCTGGTCACGTTGTAACCACATAAAAATGAAAGTTACTAGTTCCAAATAAACACCAACAGTCATAACCATAAGTTATTGTGTTTCAAAACTATCATAAATCTTGGAGTTAAAGCACTCATCGAGTGTTGATATTTTGTTAATTCTCTCAAATCATGATCGGTTTATCGTAGAGACTTTGTTTGTATAAGCTATCGGAAAAGTGTTTGACTTCTTAAAACAGTACACTGTTTTCATCATGTAATCCCTAGTTTAAAATGATGTAACAGTCAAAATATTATAGCGATGAGAAAATTAATAAAACTCTAACCAGATCATTAAATCAGATGTAAGTAATCTAGGTCTCAAATACGTTGAAATATAAGAAGGGATGCTTTATAAGTGTGTTTATTCATTTAGGACACTATGATGCTGAGCATGAATAAGCGCAATGAAATTACTCTCCGAACAAAATCTTTCATTTTTGTTATAACTTTAAACAAAAGATTGGCTCCACATCAACATAAGTTATATTTTATTTATTTTTTGATAAATTCCAATTTTCATGTCATGATGCATCCTCGACATTAAATAAAAACTTGATTTTTTAAAATGTACGACACCACCATAGAACTAAGTGTTGTTATGTATATTTACAAAATTTCTTACGTTCAACCCTACAAAGGGTTTGATTTGTTGATGAAGTGGGATATATAGTTAAAAAGACTTTATTTGTGTCATTGAATGTTCAAACGAAACATATTTATTGTTACAATTTGAAAGATTACCTCTTGATTCTAATCAAAACGAAGTTTGTAAAGGAAAGCATTTACATTTCGATTATCGTGGAAAATTCTAGCTAGTCTATGAAAAATAAATGAGACAAACCACTTAAACTGTTTACACAAACTAAAAGATCTCCACACATTTCAATTTCTACTTCTCTTTTGAAGTTAACCTAGAGGCATTTTTAATATGCCTAACAGTGAAAACTTAGACCATAATGTGATATTGGTTCACGAAATCACCGGCTATTACTCTGAGCAATTTCGGTAGGGGTAAGCTCCTTGGTTGAGGGGAGAGCGATAAACTCAATCAATGTTTGCAAAGTCTAAGTACCATGAATAAAACTCTGTAACAGTGATAAAAATGGATTGTGTTTGTCTGTATTCAAATTTTTATTTTTAAAATCGGTTTGTGCTTTTACCCAAATGTTTCATCCATTCCTTTGAAACTATATTCTCCATTTATTATGAACGAGAAGCTGCACTAACCATTTGTTCAAAATTTAAGTTGTCATTAAAAAACATTAATTATTGATATCTTTGACTGGTTTGCAGTTATTTCAAGTCGTACTATGATCATGACCGACTGGTCACGTAAAAAATTCAAAGAATATTCTAAATTTTATCGCAATAATAACTACTGAATAAAAAATCCATTTTTAACTTTCGAATATATCTTTAGCTACCTCATCAAAATGTCTACGAAATCAGTTACTCCGAATGCAGTGAACACGAATGGCCTTCATTTGGTTTTTTAAAGCGATCACGAAGAAGCAATCATGAAACGTTTCAGGAAAGCATTAAAAGTCATCCAAAGGTTAGAGTTTTACGTTATAGTAAAAATTAGTTACTTATATTATTTAAAACAGTATAAATCTGAGATAACTTTTATTGATTTTCCTGGAAATTTGTCCGGTGCAAATTGTATGTTTAGACAAAGTGTAATGAAACTTCTTTTTTAACATTTGCTTGCATAGCGTTTGTTTTAAAAAGTCATGGTTTACATTACGAGCTCACTTCAACTTAGCAGGCACTAGAAACAAAGAAGAACCACATGTTTTTGTCCTGTTGTAAGGCTAATTCGCAAAACGCATCTCTAATAATATCAGTGGTTGAACCCATGACTGTTAGATATCACAAGGAGTGACTAGACTACAGATCATCGACTTAGTATTCAATAGTCAGCGTTCTCTTCCAACTAGATTTATAGGCGCAGATTATTGAAACGTTCTATATGTAATCAGAATGAACACTCATAACTTCTTGATTTTGTGGTATAAACTGAAAATAAAATGGTATCGCATTGGGAGTGATTACTTTACATAAGGAATTTTACTATGGTAACAGAAGCAACATCTTTGTTTGTCTGAAAATATTAGCCGTTCAGTCTTATAATTGTTCCCTTAGTATTCTAAAGTGAATTAATATGATTTTTCATTTTATATAAATTAAGTTGTTCCCATTATGAATAGATGTAGTTATCCTGTATTAAATCAACGTATTTTCATCATTTACATTAGGAAATGATTTTATTTGGATAGTTATTGAAATCGATACTTCTTGATTTAGAGTTTCATTTGTAAATGTTGTCATAGTTTCATTTTTCTTCGAGTTCAAGTTTTCATAGACATTTGGCATCAATTTTGACATCATGTTCAGTACAGTATCACAAGGGATAAGTGTATGTTAAGTAGAATAATGACTAGGAGTTATTTAAAATAAAAAAACGTTGGTTCATCGAAGAATTTTCTTCACGGTTAATTGGTCAATGTAATTTTGTAATTACAAATACAGACCGTTTCTAAACGATGACAGTTGACAATATGTTTATTGAAAACGGAATTAATGAGCGTAACATGAGAGGGAAAAAATAAAATTAAAAGTGACATGTTAATTTTGTTATAGGACTAAAAATGTAGTTATTAAGACATAGAATATTTATGAAAAATATCACAGAATTTAGATAAATATTATTAATTGTGAAAATGGATTGAATTATATGATGAGATGATTTAGAGAATTACAGTAAAATGATATCAGAAGAACATAGAAAAAGAGATAGACTAATGAAGAGACCTTTGATCACTTTACAGCATTCATTCATCAATCGAAATCAAAAACAGTATCAGACTGTCAGTGCTGATAACTAGTTGATTCATGAAGTCACTTCATTTATTTGTTTGGTTATCTTGATTGATTTTTGATATTGTAGCTGCTTTGGCGCATAACTTGTAATGGCAATGCATTCATGTGTACATATAAAGTTGTTTCCATTACTTGAGTGAATATACTAAAACTTAGATCTCTCATTATCGTCAATAATCTCAACTAATTTCGTTTACCAACTCCACAAAACATATCAATTTTTACTGTAAAGAAACTTAACAATAAAATATTTTTACCCTATGCGTTTAATTCAATTTTTAATGCTTCCTCTGTAACAAAACGTAAACTGTAATTTTCATATAAAAACTTATTCCTTTATGATTTCAACATGCAGGTTACTGGATTCACTACATATACGTCTAATTTTATGGCAAATATTTGTAACATGAAACGTCGAAATGCTTACAATTTCAATGTTCTTTTACCAAGTTTCAGTTATTATCGGACATTGAATATAACATTGATTTTGAAGCTATTTTAAATATCAGTTTCACAATAGCAATATTTACTTGGGATTTTTATTAGGTAGTGGTGTTTAACATTAAGATATATATATATATATATATATTATAAGGTCTCATAGAATCTTTGAATAATGTGTACTTATTTTGTTAGGTCCCGATAAGCATAATGAATGTTAATTTGTGGAATCCATTTGTGGACTAATGCTATGCGTATGTTCTTATCGTATAATTGTTAATTAACTAAACTATTCATATTCATGTCCCTCTTATTATGAGCTTTTTTTGATCTATGAACTATTATTGTGCGATTTACCATTCTTGAATTATGCTCTGTCTATTAATCACTACCTCCCACATTCACAGCCACATTTGACTAATTCTTGTACAAATGTTGTTTCCTATTTTATGGTACATTGTGGTCTGTATGGTTGGCATATAAACCCGTATATCTGAAATACATGATTCATATTGCAGAGGCTGAGATTGGTGTTCTTGACTTAACTGCCTGGCCTAGGCACTAAGACTGCTCATACGGGTTTATGCGTCATTGATCCGATCGATAAGTCACTGTTCGCCAATTGGCGATATCGTTACGTTATACATTAACAAGTCACACAGGTCACAAGTTATAACATTTGGCGACGGAGATGGGATTCGAACCCACGCGGGGAAACCCCGATGGATTTCAGACATACGGGTTTACACACCAGTCAAACAGACCACATCGTACCATAAAAAAAGAAACAACATTTGTACAAGAATTAGTCAAATGTGGCTGTGAATGTGGGAGGTAGTAATTAATAGACAGGGAATAATTCAAGAATGGGAAGTGGTATAATAACAGTTCATAGATCAAAATAAAGCTCACAATCAGATGAACGCAAATATTAATAGTTTAGTCCTTTAACAATTATGCGATAAAAACATACGCATAGTATTGATCCACAAATGGATTCCACAAATTACCATTCATTATGCTTATGAGGACCTAACACATTTTAAAACTCATTACAGGTAAATAATGGTTTGATATGAACAATAAACAATAAATTTAAAATTTCACTAAACTATATTTATTAAAGGCTATTCAATATAAAATATTTTTATAACAATAGTTTTCAATAATTTTGTACTTTAATTCATTTCTATGGTAATTTGATGTGATTAAAATTTATTTTATTAAGAAAGTATCATTTAAAAAAATTTCTTTTTAAGATTAACGGATTAAGTACAATTTTGTTTATAATTTAATGCAACATAATCTACATTTTAATTTCCATTCAATGATATTTAGTGTTATAAATCAATGATGTCAGCCAAGGAATAATTATTAAGCAGAATATATAGATATTTCAATTTATTTTAACAAATTATGGTGATATCTAATAAATATAATAAACGGAATACACCCATTAAGAAATTAAATAGGAAAGATTAGTTCAGCGAAGAGTTCTCTTTTCGGCGAATTCATTTTCAAAGCTGTACAATCGCAAATATATACACTTATTTTTACAGGATGATAATAGTACTGATAATAAACTTCAGTTAAACATGGTGACAGTGAGGTTAAATAAACAAAGGTATTAAAAATTTTTCTAAAACAAGGAAAGTTTAATAATTGTTTGATTGTTAATGGCTTAAGTATTCATCAAACGATAGATAGGGAAATTATCATTGGGAAAGGATGGCTCAGTATGATAAGATAAAATGTTGAAATTAAGATTAAATGTAATCGGAATGATCATGGAAATAAAAACAAACCAGTTGGGGGTAGAAGATTTAAGGGGGAGATGGAAGGTGAAGCAGATGGTTGTAAAAGAACAAGAGTGTAAAAAAGAGAAAAAAATTATAATACATTAAGACCATGGTAGAAGAAGAGGTTGTACCAGTCTCTTTTGCACACATAATTCTGGTTTTTTCTAGATGTATGGCTATTGCTAATGCAAAGTAAATGCAATCTAATTACCTTAGGAAGACATTTACTTACCTTGTAGATAACTTTGAACGCAGAGTCTGTCTTGATTGAGTGACCAGTATGTATAACAAGTTTATTATCAGTACTATTATCATCCTGTAAAAATAAGTATATATATTTGCGATTGTACAGCTTTGAAAATGAATTCGCTGAAAAGGGGAGAACTCTTCGCTGAACTAATCTTTCTTATTTAATAAATATAAACTTAGGATCTTTAATTATTATTATATCTATTGACCACTAAATTGGAATTTCACTAGTCTATATGAATTAGTTTGTGAAACTCTTTAATTTATTGAGTCAATAACATAAATGGTAACAATCTGAACTTGATTGATCTAAGTAGTTAAGATATTTTTTAATAAAACTTAGGGAAATTACTCGTTAAATTAGTTACTAATGTGTATATATCAATTATTTAACTTGGTATTTACTTATTAGAATTAAATACCTTTTACCGTTATGAGGATGTTTAAAAACAGTTTTAAAAGATTGAAATTAACCTAGCATATTTAAGTGGCAAATAATTACTTAACTAAACATATTGAACTGAGATTAACCAGTTTTAATGGGTCCGTATCTTCCAGATATTGTTTAGTTGCTAATTTTTCTTTATGAGTCCAGATTAGAAAAATTAAAGACAATCCAGCCCATTATTCTGATTCCAAAGTACCTGAATTAATTGTACCTATGATAACTAAAGGAGTGCTTATAATCTGAGAGATGTTTTTTTCCGCTGACTAGTCAAAACGAAATGTCTTCAATCAGATTAGAGGATCACAGGAGCTGATAAAGCTAATAACGGTTTGTTTGAGCCAATTTAAAGGATTTAAAATTGGTAGTTATGCTAACAGACACAGTTATAATTTATAGTTGGAGATCTTATATGTCATGATTTACAATCGATTACAGTGGTATAAACGAATCTGAATTCTTTCCTTACAGAGTTTTAAATTATAATAATATTTTATAGTTTTAATGACTCGAACTAATTGATTCCTTGTGAATGATGTATTCTGCACTTAGTTTTCAATTTGTCTATTAATTGAAACCATATGTAAGTGAATGGTGATTGATTGAACGAGTAACAAGTTATAATTTTGACCCTTAAAAAGAGCGTTTAAGCTAGTATTGAGTCCAGTCTAATGATTGACACAGCTGAACTTAGTGAACTTACAATATTCCACAACCATCAGTGATATTTTCCTTACA